TTTTTTTTTTTTTTGTAGCAGTGGGGACTGAACCAGTGGTAACACATGCTAGACAAGCGCTCTACCACTGAGCTACATCCCAAGCCCAGAAGTGCTTTTTTTAACTATTAGGGAGAAGATTCTAGTTTGATAGCCAAGAGTTATTTTTGTAACTCACTATACAGTTCCAGCTAACTGATGTTGAACCACTTCCTATATGGAATAGATTTTCAAACTAAATTCTCACACATTTTTCTTTTTTAAGAGAGAGAGAGAGAGAGAGAGAGAGAGAGAGAGAGAGAGAAAATATTTTAATATTTATTTTTTAGTTGTTTTTTTTCCGGCGGATACAACATCTTTGTTTTGTATATGGTGCTGAGGATCGAACCCGGATCGCACACATGCCAGGCGAGCACGCTACCACTTGAGCCACATCCCCAGCCCCATTTTTTTTTTTCTTAAGTCATTGTATTAATTAGACATCAACTGCTGACATGGCAACCAGGCAAATCCCAAAAAAGGAAAAATGAAAAAATTGAACCTCAATGTTTAAATATTAATTTGAAATATTTATACCAGCAACCAAGACATTCCTCTTAAAAACCTGTTATCAAAGGATGATTTTTCAAATGCAACATTAAAGAAGGGTTGTCACCACTTTCTGTTAAATAAAGGTCAGCAAGGTTCTTTTAACCCTGGTTCTGAACCAACCATTTCTTGCAGTCTTAATAATTTATTGGTCACCCAAATCTGCATATATCAGGCACTCTACCAATATTTGAAGAATTAAATCTGGGTTTATCCTACTCAATCCACTTGAATAAAACTATACCACCAGAAAGGAAAATTTTAGAAATACTTGAAGGTAAAAATTATAAATGTAGGGAAAAAGTCATTTAAGAGCATATTGCATATATACATACATATGCACACATATAATCTCAAGTAAAAATTATAAAAATTATGATATCACCACAGAACTTTTACCTTTTGACAATGGACAAGTTATTCCAAAAGACTAATTTGAGTAGCTATTTAATAAAATCATTCCAATTATAGTCTAAATTTGGTTTAATTAGATATTTAAAAAATTACTCACATGTGAGTTACAACAGGATAGAGACTGATATAAAATATTTTCCTCTTATGCTTGGTACTAAATAGGTACCTAAGTGGGCATAATTTCCTGCCAAATACAGTGGTACTTGAAGTCAACATCAATGACTAAAATCAGTGGGCTTCCTATTTCAGAGAAGTCTACATGATCAAGTAATTCAGTCCTACAAAACCTAAGTCCAATTAAACCATTTGTCCCATCATCTCAGATGTGGAATACCCTTAAAAACTTTAAAATAATTACAACAATAAGAATATAATTACTATATAATATTAATAAAACTATATAAGTTCTAGAGTATTATTTTCAACCTCTTTTAATGTACCTGTGTCAACTTCATTGAAATATCTGCAAAATTGAAAATTTGGGACTCAGTTGGTTAAGGTGATTTGATCTGTTGAGTTGCTCATTATTTACATCTAAACTATGTTATAATTCAAGGAGACAGGCAAGCACTCCTTTTCTTGCTCCAATCTATAGGGGGGTAAGCTCCTACCCTGATTCAAGTTAATATCCTTGAACCAGAGTCAGTCACACTCTAGAATATAATCATATGAGGGTGTTCAAGATAGTGATGGAAAGGGGAATAGGCTGAAGTTATATGCTACAGCTTCATAATCACACAGATCCACATTTATACACACACACACACACACACATACACACAATTTCTTTCTCTCCCCCAAGCTTTCCTAACATATTTCAAATTATTTTAAAATCCTATCTTCACACCTATTTCCCATACTAAAAAAATTAAAGTATATAATATCAGTAAGACTGTCAACCACAATAATAAAGCAGAGGGTATAGCTCAGTGGTAGAGTGCCTGCTTAGCTTGTTAAAGCCCTGGGGTTGGATCTCCAGCATCTCAAAGAATAAAAACAAAACAAAGCAAATGAACAGACAAATAACCCTATATTCAACTAATTTTGAAAAAGAAAAACTACATTCAATATCCAATGTAAGAAGGTCTGAATGAAAGCCAAAAACTTACTGATTTTAAAGGTATTTGTGTCAAAATAAAGAAAGCAATATCTTAAATTACATATGATTCTTTCAAACACAAATCCATTTGTTAACTTCTTTATTACAATATTTTCATTTCAAAAGTCATTTATTGAGCAATCCATGCTCCAAAAGATGTGTTACACAAGATACTGAAACTTCACAAGTCTATTGGATAATGTTCTTTCAAATATCTGCAGTAAAGTGTGGTGTTATGATAGGAAAAATAAAACACTCTTTTTATAAGCCTCTGGATAGAAAATTCATAAATTCTTGTCTTTTATGACCCACAAATCCTAGTACAGTTCCATTAGCTTCTGAAATACGACTTATTCTAAAAGAGTGAAATTTTACCTGTGTTACATAAGGCTGCAGGTAATGGGAAGAGTGGTCTTCGTACAAATTGATGCAGAGGTCGTTTCTTGATGGTATATGCATTCATCATGTGACAGAATCTACATTTAAAAAACAAATTATAAATGACATTTTATGAGATCTAATCTCAAGGTCAGTTTCTACTTATATAAAAGACATGTAAAATTTAAATATAAGTAGCAATAAAAATGATTAGAGAGTGAACTTTTCATTTTTCATCTATAACATATTTCACCTACTTCGGCAAGTAATACAAACAATTCAAAAACAGATGAAAATCAAACAGAAATTCATAGCTTCAATCACTAGAGATGCATAGGATAATGTTAACATCCAGGTATAAAAACCAGAAATGTCAGGGCTGGGGATGTGGCTCAAGCAGCAGTGTGCTTGCTTGCCTGGCATGCGTGGGGCTCTGGGTTCGATCCTCAACACCACATAAAAATTAAAAATAAAGACATTGTGTTCACCTAAAACTAAAAAATAAATATAAAAAAAMCCAGAAATATATCTATATTAGTGATTTAAATCTGTAGCTGGGTGTGGTGGCCCACGCCTATAATCCCAGCAGCTTGGGAGGCTGAGACAGGAGGATCACCCATAGCCAGCCTCAGCAAAAGTGAGGCACTAAGCAACTCAGTAAGACCTTGTCTCCAAATAAAATACAAAATAGGGCTGGGGATGTTGCACAGTGGTTAAGTGCCCCTGAGTTCAATCCCTAGTACCCCCTCCCCCMAAAAATCTGTGGCCGAGGCTCAAGATGAAGTCAAAAAACTATACAGGTTTTTAGTAAGATACAGTGGCACATGTCTGTAATCCCAGCAACTCCTAAAGGCTGAGGCGGGAGGATCACAAGTTCAAGGCCAGCCTCAGCAATTTAGAGAGACCCTATTCAACTTAGTGAGACCCTGCCTCTAAATAAAAAATTCAAAGGGCTGGGGA